TTTAAATTATAAAAAGCAAAAGCTCAGCAATCTTGAACCATCGAGCGATATACCTGCTTCTACAATCGCGTGACATATAACGTACTTCTTTTGAAACAAGCTACCGTTGCCAAACTACGCGTGCAACCTCAAACAATCTTATGAAACGCTCATCTTATAAAATTAATTCGCACAAGTACACCTAATAATAAAAATAATCAACAATCTCAACATTCTTTACTGCAGATGTACACAAGAAATATCATATACAATTTCGACAGCAACTTGTATTTAATGTGAAATCCGAGAGATCAGCAGTTTTAATCATCAATTACTGTAAAATCATTGCACCACGACTGTGCCACCACGTGTCAGTTAAGGGTAATTAGGTTAAGCTCTGATTGGTCGTTCGGATCCTCAACTTGACGCGTCCTCCTTAAACGCAAGAGTATAAAAACTCCTTGCACATGACGATAATCGCCTCTTCTCTTTCATCAAGTGCTCAAAAGTAACGATAAAGGTTGGAGAGTGAGTTATATTGTATCCTTTAGGTGGATGTAAGACTTAGTTCGGTGATTAGGCAACATGTTAAAAGTATGCATTTCAAGCAAATGTAAGACTTAGTTCGGTGACTAAGCTGTGTGAGGAAAGTTCGAGCAAATCAGGCCACTGTAAACTTGCCTAAGAAGTGAATCAAGGAGGAAAAAGAAAGAAAAGACCGTCGACTTGGGTTCCTACATTAAAAGCAGAAGCCTAATTATTGTCATCGCCACGAGTGCTCTCGTGTAGAATTAGGAACATCGTTCTAAATTCATTAAATCATCAGGTAAGACATAACTTGGTTGTTGATTAAATTAATCTTCTTAATTCAAAAACATTCCAATCACTCAATTACATGAAACATTTCAAGGTCTAATAATTTAAATTGATCGACACATAATTCTTACCTTAATAAATAAATTGAATATCGAGAAAAAATTAAATCGACACTGTATGACAAAGACCTTTATAAGGACATGAGATAAAAAGACGAAAAAGATACGCTACTACCGTATGACATAAGACGTAAACTTTAACAGTAAGTCAACACCAGCTCAGCGTACATTACTCCATACATATCGCTCGGTGAAACCTAATACGACGACGCCAAGTTAATAATTTCAAAGAATAGTATACTATAAGTAAAAGCAAATAAGGCCTTTGGGCTGATGGCTGGTTCCTGAAAAACGAAAATTTAATCTATTTGTTTGTAGAACGAATCTACGAGTTTTGCTTTTTACTTATAGTAGTTCGGATGCAACACATTGACACTTATTATAAATCTTTTTTTCTGCTTACTACAGACTAAGAGAAGCTAATTTTCTTATAACAATCACGCTTAATTATATAAAAGCTAGTTATAATATCTTCATATGTAGTTATGATTATTATTGATATAATTCATTTTTTTTTAATTGGAAAATTTTTTTTTATTTTAAACATTCTGCCTTTTGCTTCAAAGCCTATTTAGAGGATTATTTTTTATAGATAGGGGGTTAACGTAAAAATCGCACAGGGAAAGCAGCCCCACTAGTGTGTATACATATATTGCGGGGCTTTGTGCTCCAACTGCCTTCATTATTTTTGAGCTATAGTTACAGAAATACGAATAGCAGTTGAATGTGTATACTATCACATAAAAATTAAGGTTGCATTAGTAAACAACAGCGTTTATGTGATTTCTTAACGAAAACTTTAAGAAAATGCGTAATTTACTATTTTAAAAAATTTAGTACCTTACTTATGTACATCACATAAATAAAATGGCAATGTCGTTATACCTTGTATTCTGCAATAACAACTTTAAACTTTTTATTTATTTATTTACTTATTTTTTTTATTGTTTAATACGAACGAAGTTGATAATAACTGTACTATCTGTACTGAGCTTCTAAAATCAGTGCCCTCGATTACTTAATACTTATACTTTCAAGAAAATTTTCTGTAGTGAGGATGAGAGGGGTATGAGGGGGTTGTGAGGACGTCAAAGTGTCTGGAGAAAAATTAAGTTGACCCAAAAGAAGGGGGAAAATGACAGAATATTACCTTATCTTGTGGCAATAGGGAGTGGTGGGTGGGTCTTTTAGGTCGGTGAATTAAGAGGGGCCATTGTGAGTTAGTATACAATGCCCTACACAAACAACTGTATAACGTAGAAAGATGTAAGGGTTATTCTACTGAAAATATTATATTTTGTGTCCCAGCCGTTAGCAACGTTGTTTAAGAAGATATCGATCCAAAATTTTTTTTAATTATTTGAGGAATCTTTTAGGGGTATGATGCTCAAGGTACAACAGAATACAGACTATAAAAATTTATTACTTTAGTTATAGATGCAAAAAATTAGCTCCATTAGCGTTACAGGCTTGCGTCTCACCTAAAAATTTACATTATTTTTGTCACTTGAAATCAACATACAGGTTTTTTTTTTTTTTTATAACATGGGATCTTAGAATTATTTATGCAGAAAACACTTCAATGCAATTGAGACAGACAAAAAAAATTGTGTCTAAGGGTGGATGCTATTAAAGTTGTGGGTCCGAAATTTACGAACTGAATGTTTTAACAGACAATGCTTTTAGAAACGCATGCAATTCAAATTTGGCGTTTTAATTTATACTTTTTATATGCTTTGGACATGAAGGAAAGAGCAAAAGTTTTTTTTTACATCTACATTCTAATAAGCCAGAGCTACTGGCTCTCGAATTCGAGGATTCTGTGTCCTCTAAATAAAAACTAAGATTCTGTTACGTTAAAGAATATCATATGTCTTTTCAAAGCGTTTGGTTATAGATTTAAGTAGAAATATTACTTTTTTTTTGTATAATAAGCCCAATGGTAAAGTTTAATTTGAATTAGGTGGGTTACAATCTCGATTTTCCAAAAAATTCATAACAGCCCGTTACGCTTTATTTCTAACTTAGACAGCGACTTGTGCAAGTATTGATGGTAAGTACACGATATAAATGTGGACAGTGCCCTCACCTTCACTTTTATAAGATTTTGTAGCGCTCTTATTTTGCAAAAATTAAATAAGAAAGTTGGAGTACAAATTTTTTTCGTTGAGGTTCAGTAGGGCCTAAAAAAACTTAGTAAGTTATGATTACTGATTATACAAAAATAATATTTTCACAACTAAAAATAATTCTTAAGCATTTGTTTATTCTGGCGATAAAAATATGCTGATTTTTGTAGAATGACTCAACTAAGATTCAACAAAAATATCGAAAAAGGGCGGTAGTGAAGAGGTTTAAGGTTAAAAAAAAAATTCTGCGGTCGATGGTTACATGGTAGATACATGTTAAGAGGAGCACTAGGCAACTGCAGGGGTAAGTCTGGAGCGTTTGAAGAAAATGTAGGCTTAGTTTAAGTAAGGGCGAAAGGGACGCAATTTGATCTTATTTTGTTTGAAGGTAGTAGGGGGTGGTTGAGTTCAACCTGAGTCTGAGAGGAATAACGAAAAGTTAAGGGGAGAGGAATTGTGTTAAATTTCGAGCATGAGCAATTATATAATAAATGGCAGTAAATGTATTTGGTTGAATAAGTTTTTTTTTAATATTCATGTTCCTACATTATACATGTTTTTTTCTGGGTTGATTGATGAGTACTTTTTTTCCATACTTTGAGAGTTATATCCTAGATTTTTATACTTTATTCGTACTTTATTTGTATACTTAAAGTATAAAGGTTAATTTTTGTTAATGGTTGTTCTTTCTTTCTTCTTTTAGTCCATGTATCTTTAATAAGTAAAACAATTAAAAAGCCATGTGTGGAGTTAATGTTTTTATTCCAATAAAAGACTGTCGACATTATGTCCTGTTAATTATTTTTTTAACGACATTNAGCAGTTGCACAGTTTACAGATATGCTCAAAAATCTTACTCAAGAATTTTTGAGTGTGGAGAAAGAAATAGAATATATTAAAACACCAGGTCGTGAAATAAAAGTTGTGCGGGAGCAAATTGAAAAAAATAGACATTTTTCTAGAAAAATGGCCCAATTAGGAGGAGAAATTGAAAAATTAATTTCTTCTGGAGGTATCTTTAATAAGTAAAACAATTAAAAAGCCATGTGTGGAGTTAATGTTTTTATTCCAATAAAAGACTGTCGACATTATGTCCTGTTAATTATTTTTTTAACGACATTCTAACATTACATATTCGTATTTATTACTTTTTTTTCACATGAGTTTTTTATTATTATGCTTAGGGCCTGAGCTCGTAACATATAAATGTGATTTCCTCTTGACATTTGCCCTGAATCGCAGCATTGCACTTCGTGTTTTCATTATTTGTCATGGGTACGGAATGTATAATTATTCATCTGAAATGATGACAGGAAAATCAGTTCTCTTCAAATGTGGCAAACTTTGCTTTTTTTTTTGTTTTTGCGTTAGTCGTTTGTACTACGATGCGAGGCGAATATATTATATACTCCTTTGAAAGTTCTAAGTGCGATTCAAACAGTATTGACATTAAAGTATTACCTCTTTTAACGCTATTTGAAAAAAAAATATTTTTAATAATAAATTAAAATGTTTATATCATCAACATGTATCAACATTCATATCAATAAAAGTCTATTTATATTTTAAGATCGTAAAGGACTACAATTCATTGACCTTAACTAGGCTAGTACTCTTGCTTTCTGGCCCACCTTAAAAATTGTACACCTATTTTTTATTAAATTTTTATGGAGCTTTTATTCAAAGTATAGTTACAAATACTCATTTTTAAATAGGTAAAATGTTGTCTGTGAGAGCATGAAACCAATCATGAAGTTTCAAAAATTTGGATGTCTAATACAAATATCATTTTATTTTAATGTATAAAAGTATTCCGTATATATATATATATATATATGTACATACTTACGTGTGTACGTGTATGTTCTCTTACGTGTCTATGTATGTTCATTTGTGCATAAAAATAAAATCAAAATATATTTGGTTTGTTTCATACGTAATTTATTTATTTACGCAGATTCAACGACAGTTGCCCAAGGACTTTATACCTGCAACAAGAATTGATTCAAATAAAGTGACTAAGCAATTTAAATTAGTAATTGAAGAATTGTACGAAAGACAATCTTTATTAGATAGCACTGTCACTCAAGTACGGGATCTTGTGAGGCGAAAAAGTGATTCAGACGGTGTATATGTCTTGAATCATGAATTAGAGGACATGGTCAGCAAATGGAAGTCCATCTCTGAAAAATGTAAGGAAAAAATTGATTTTCTTGATGATATAAGAAATTTTTATGACACATACGAGGGGCTCTTCTCTTGGCTTGGTACCAAAGAAAAAATGTTAAGTGCTTTGGGACCAATATCTTCTGATTCACGTATGGTAGCTAGTCAAGTACAGCAAGTTCAAGTTCTTAAAGAAGAATTCAGGACACATAAGCCTCAACTTGATCATCTTGTCAAAGTAAGTGATAAAGTACTCGTTCGAATTATTTCTGATTCGATCGATGCACAACAGATTAAACTTAAGCTTCAAACCATATTGCAAAAATGGAGTGATCAACTGAATCGATTAGAAGATAGAGCACATAGCCTTGGAGATGCTGTAGATACTAGTCGAGAATTTGATGCTAGTCTTAATCGGCTCCATAATGCTTTACAAGGGATATCTGATAATTTAGATGAATTGCCGTATAATAAAAAGGCAGAAGAACAATTGCGAAAAGTTGAAAATCTTGAGCGACAGCTTGAAGGTCAGCGGCCACTTCTTGCCGATGCTGAATCTGCAGGAGAACAGTTGTGTGAGGTATTAAGTGATGCAGCTTCAAGGTCAGATATTCAAGCTAAAATATTATTAGTTGGAAAGTTTTACAGTAATATACAAAAGAAGCTTGATCACAAAAAAGCTGAAATTGAAGGCAGCCTGAAAGATGAGCGTCAGTTTGAGGCATCTTGTAGTAAAATACTTGGGTGGATAGCTAATGAACTTAGTAATATGTCTGAAAAATTTCTTGTATCTGCTGATCATGAAGTTTTGCAGCAACAACTCGATCATCATGAGGTATGTAAACTTGTTTTTACACAGTTTTTTTTAAATTTGTAAGTTAATTAAATTACTTAGGCATAATCCGAAACGTTTTTATGGCATTTTTGGAATATAGGAATATAATTAAATAACCATACTAATTATTATCAACATTTATAACAACTGCAGAAATAATTTATGCCAGCCCTTTTTTCTCTTGTTTTTCTTTAATTACTAACATTATTGTAACCAAATGTAGTGTTTAGCTTATTATTTTTATTCTAGCCTGTCTATAGAAATGTCATGAGCAAAGAACATGAAGTTATTATGTTACTTAACAAAGGTCGTGATACAGCTCAGACATCGAAGTCTCAAAAAATCGAGAGTCGAACTCTGTATCGAGATTTGGATAAATTGCAATTTCAATGGGAGCGATTAAAAAAAGATACTTTAGAAAAGCAAACAAAGTTGCAGACTTGCACTGAGCAATGTAAAAAATACTATAGAGTGCACAATATTTTTTTGCCTTGGCTCAGACAAGCTGAAGATAAGCTTGAGAGTCTTAAGCCAGGCTCTTTTAACCGTAAAGACATAGACAAACAACTAAAACAGCTTTCTATGTTTAAAAATGACGTTTGGAAAAAGTCTGGTGAATTAGAAAATACTAATACTCTTGGAGAAACATTTTTGAGCGCTTGTGATATTGATAAGGATATAGTAAAAACTGAGCTCAGTACAATAAAACAACGATGGGATAAGCTTAATAATGGTATGTGACACTTACTCGGTGCCTTCAATTACTAAGTTAAAGTTAGTTTTTCTAAAATAATGTTCTAGCTTATTGATTGGAATGTTTTCAGACTTGCTAGAAAGAAATCAATCATTAGAAAATATGGCAAGGCATCTTGCTCACTTCAACGAAAATTTACGTGAGCTTGAAAACGGATTAGAGCGATGTGAAGACAAACTTGCGTCTCATGATGCTCTAGGTGGGGATGCAAAAGATCCTAAACTTCTTGATCGAATAAAGGTAAGGGTTTCATTTTTTTTTTTTTTACTGTAACAGAGTAAAAGTTCTTTTTCTATATTTTTTCAAATAGAATTTGAGAGAAGAAACAATCACACTGAAAAAACCACTTTTAGCTGCACGTCAGCAAGCTACAGATTTAGTACATAATGCTGGTGAGCTAGGTGTTGATGCAACTCATCTTCAAGACGAGGTAGACAGTATTGTTGATCGTATCGAAGATTTACAGGCTAAGTTAGATGATAGATGTAATGAATTGCAAAGTGCAGCAACAGCAGTTGCACAGTTTACAGATATGCTCAAAAATCTTACTCAAGAATTTTTGAGTGTGGAGAAAGAAATAGAATATATTAAAACACCAGGTCGTGAAATAAAAGTTGTGCGGGAGCAAATTGAAAAAAATAGACATTTTTCTAGAAGTATTAACCAATTAGGAGGAGAAATTGAAAAATTAATTTCTTCTGGAGAAAATCTTATAGACTTAGGTTTTGTGACTGATTCAGTGATTATTCGACAGCAAGTAGAAGCATTAAAAAAGCAATTTGGATTGATTGAGAAAAAAATACGCAATCAAGAGGATGAACTAAGCCTACTATTAGAAAAATTGCAACGATTTTGTCAAATTTATAACGAAGTAATAGATAATATTAAAGATGTTAGTGGTTTGGTCTGTCAGCTTAAATCGGTAAGCTCAGATGTTGACTTAATACGCATTCAACAAGATGATTTCAAGGTCTTAAAAGATAGTAAAATTGAGCCAATCAGTCGTTCAGTAGATCAAATCAACTCCTTAGGACAAGCATTAATTCAGACTGCTGGCCGAGATGTTGACACAAATAGCATTGAGAGAGATCTCGATAGAATAAATGAAAAGTGGAATGAACTGAAAGCAAAGGTAAAAAGTTACTTACTGTCATATTATTTTTATCTTAAGTAGGTTTTGCATTTCAACGAAACGGACGATATTCAAATAGATATCTTATTTTTTAAGGTAACAAAATTAAGTTACGAGTACGTATTAAGCTAGTATATTATTTACTGATTGTTTGTTTTATGATGTCGTCAAAACCGTCATAGCTAAGCAGCAAACAGCATAGATTAACTAGTTGGATTTAATGTTTCATGGGAATTCTTTTCATCAAAAACATTCCAGGTCCACTATAAAACATAGTTTTTTAAAAATACATCAGAGGAATTATATTTTTATCTTATCAGAGACATAAAATAAGTAAAAAATAAAGTAGAATTTTATTTTATCTCATTAATTTAAAGAACATAGTAAGAGTAAGTCAGAAGTTAAGGGTTACACTGACGTCATATTTAAGCTGCTGTTAGCATTTTCTCTCTTTTGTGATGTACGATGTTCTCTTTCGTCCATTTATCTGTATTTTCGAAATCAGGATGGTAGACATGCAGCTGCTTGCGGGATGCTCAGTAAACTTTTTTATTAAACTGAATCTCTTAGAATGGATACAAAACAAAGTATTTTTTTTAAATTGAAATCGTGCATGAATCTCACCCAATATTCAGTCTAGAGCACATAAATCGCTTTAAAAAAAACTTACGCGTATGAGTTACTTCTTGTTGACATTTAATTTTTTATGGTTAAGCACAAGCTTTTAAAACTTAATTGGAAGTTATAAAATTTTAATTTTTTCTTGGACGGATTAGTTCTAAAACCGATATTATATTATGTTATAAAACTATTGAATTTGTTCAACAAAGATAGGTCACATACATTCATTTACAGATTGGACCATTTTAAGTGAGCGCTCAAAGGAATATTAAAATGGTTAAGTTAGAAAAAATTTTTCACAAAATATGTGTCATATAGAATAGGACATTGACTGATGATATTGATCTTGACCTTTAAGTAGGAAATCAAAGCCATGTTTAGGTTAATCCAACTTTTTTACCACATATGTTGAAAGGTTGGAAAAAGTTATGTTTAATTATGAGGAATTGATATTTTCAATAATGACTTGTCAAGGTACGATAAAATATCCTTAGAACAGTTCTTTTATGATCTTACAGGTACATCTACAAAAAAAGCGTTGTTATGTTTCATTCTTTTGCCTACATACATACGCAGTTCATAAGTATAAAAAGTGCCAAGAATAGATATGGCTGTACACCGTTTTAAGAATAACTTGAAAATTCTTTCATGTAACATATAAGTTTCTATAGTTAAAATAAGTTTATTATAAAACCTGCGAATTTGTTGTTCTAACGACCTTTTTTCAACTTTTTTTACATGTTATTGACAATTTTAAGCAAAAAAGTCCTTAATTATTTTATTCTAAGTGATCTACCATTTTTTAAATAAAAATAAGGCTACTCTACCTATTAAATGTCTTGTTCAAATCATGTTCAGTAACTAGTAGTGTTAATATCAATGTAAAATAGTCATATATGGGTAAAAATCCTTTTTTTCATTTAATTCATTAGTTTTCTATAAAAACTCTTAAAAACGTATTGTTTATAGAAGTTTTAACACAGAAAAGTTACATATATTGCTGATAAGTTATCCCCTATCCTTGAAGAACTTTAAGAATCAGAAAAAATGAAACAATTTTTAAATAATTCTCAAAATTTTTTAGAAAAGCTGACGCAGAATCGTCAAATTGTTCAAAGCGTGTATATTGTGAAATTAAACGTGTGAAAGACTTGCTAGAAAGAAATCAATCATTAGAAAATATGGCAAGGCATCTTGCTCACTTCAACGAAAATTTACGTGAGCTTGAAAACGGATTAGAGCGATGTGAAGACAAACTTGCGTCTNTGGGACCCACGATAGAAGTGAAACTTCAAGTATCAAATATTGAACTAATTTTATACAGAAAATTATATGAGAAGCAATCATATGTGTTATGGCTACGAGTTAAATAAGTAAATTTATTTTAATAACATTAAACAAGTAAAAAAAATTTCGTATTTGAAATGGCTGAAAATCATGTTTTCATCAAACCAAATTGTATGCTTCGATTGTTTTTCCTCCTTTATTAAACCTATGAAAATTGGTATTTTAGACTCATGTTGCTTCTCCTTCGAGATATGGTGTTTTTTCTAATTTTTTGAGGTTGTGTTGTCATGAAAACACTTTAAATTTCTTCGCGCACATCTGCATTAATGTTTAAAGTTTCCTGCAATTTTTTCGTAATTTATAACTCCAGTTTCATACAGATAGACCGCAAATACAAATTTGAGGTTATGTAATCATAACAAATGACACCTCAATTTGTGCGTCTTAATATTTTATTTCCCCTTTAGGATACCCGTAAGAAATCGGTATTTTTGGCCTATTTTGCTTCTCCGTCGAGATATGACGATTTTTCTTATTTTATGAGGTTATGGTGTCATGAAAACACTTTAAATTTCTTCGCGCACATCTGTATTATTAATGTTTACAGTATACTGTAATTTATTTGCAATTTATAACTCCAATTTCATAAAGATAGAGTGAAAATACGAATTTGAGGTTATGTTATCACAACAAATGACACGTCTATTTGTGCGTCTCGATATTTTATTTCCCCTTTAGAATACCCGTAAAAAATCGGTATTTTGGCCTATTTTGCTTCTCCATCGAGATATGCCGATTTTTCTTATTTTATGAGTTTATATTGTTATAAAAACACTCAAAATAATTTGTGAACATTTCTATAAATTTTCAAGGTATACTATAATTTTTTCGCAATTTATAACTCATATGTCAGAAAAGTACAACTAAATTACGAATTTGAGGTTATTTAATAACAAATAGTACCTCATTACACATACAGACACACACACGCACACACACACATATAGATACTCGTAAAAATTTGAGCATGTAGTAGCAAGGGGAGCGAGGCAGAGAGAAAGGCCGTCCCACGTCCCACTCTATACGTATATGCACTGCTCTGCAAGGGGGCAAGGGGGACGAGGGAGAGAGAGAGAGTAGTGGCTGGAGTGGTGGGGGGCTCAGAAATTTCGTGTCGCTCGAAAAAATTAACAACGTGCCATGAGAAGTTTCACTTCAAAAAACATTTCTTTATATGAAGAACGTAAATCTAAAAAACGAAGACAGGTAAAGTGATAAATTTTTTTAAAAATAATTTGTCCTGCAAAATGCTGAATGTAATAAAATTAGAAAATAATCAATGTTTGAAAACTAATAACCTGATACTGTAATAATAGTCCTAAAAATAACGGATGGAAATTCACTCAACGTTATTTATTTTTAATCATTTATTTAGAAGTCATTTAATTATAATTCTTTTTCATAACTGTAAGATGACATTTTTGATTAGTAAAAATCCAAACAATCTCATTTTCACGTATTTGAAGATTGCAAATTTTAGGAAATGGCTGGATAGTATGTGCAATCATTTTTCACACGTTTAATGTTACGAAGTACGAGCTCTAAAAGATTTCTTTGCCGTATCCTGTTTTTTTTTTTTTTTTTTTTTTCAATTATTTACCTAATAAAAAAACAGTTTTGTTCCTCTGTATTTTAAGAATTTTTTTTAGTTGAAGGAATGATCAATAAGTTTTCTTTATAATGTTACTGTTTTATTAATTATTACATATATAATTTTTCTGTACTTTTTATTTAGGAATCTATGTTTTCCCAGACTTAAAAAAGGCTTTTTTTTATTTGTTACGGAAATTTTTGATAAAAAAAAAAGAATTATGTGATTCTGACAAACTTCATTGGTTTCCCATTTTTTTAAGGTAATGTAATAGGTCCTTAGCAGCTGTTGTAACTAGACCAGGAAACAAACGTTTAAACTGACACTTTGTCCATGTGAAAATTCAGTAGATTACGTGATTGACCCTGCCTAATATTAAAAAAAAAATAAATAAAATAATCCTAGTGCCTGAGGTCTTTCCAAAAAATTGCATTAGAAATGTTCCAACACTCGTATCTTAAGAACAACATTACGCAACGTTATATGGTTTGCATCATTTGAAAGGGACCCAAAATTCTTCTGTAAATGATTATATGTTCTATTTTGGTAAGCGTGAAATATTATAAGTATTAGCTGCAAACAATTAGAAGCAACAACAGAGCAAAAGCAGCTTAGCTATTTCTAACACAAGGCCATGCATAATCTCTTGCACGAAGAGTGGAATACTCAGTGCAGTCATATCTATGCTTCATCAGCTTTTGTTGATCAATACGGATGTATGTTTATTTATGTAGTAATTTTTTTTTATTTATTTAATAAACGGGCCAACGACCCCATTACAAAAATTACAAAAATAGATGGTAGCTTATCAGCGCAACACATATGTCTGACACCAATTCAGAATTGATAGGCGTAGCTTCGCCTATGCATTTATTCAAATATATACACATATAAATATGTATAAGTGAGAAAATGCAACAATGTATCGAATGTAACAATATCAAGTGATTAACAACATGAAAATAAAATAGCTTATACAAGGTAAACTAAATGAATGATTGTATACTATTTATTGATTTAAGTTTGATTATTATATGTTAGAGAAACAACTAGTGAGATAATACTGAAAACGATGATGTTAGTTGTTTAAGGAAACTGTTCTGAGGTTACATTTGAAAAGTGGTGTGGTGATGGATTCAGGTAGATATTGAATGGTATTGTTCTTTAAACGTCTTGAACGGAAAATGGGAGAGTGGTACAGATAGTTTGTAGTGTAAGTATACTCTGATAAGTAACGCAGATTCTTTAAAAGGTATTGAGGATTTCTTGTTAAGGAAAGTATAAATAGATCAGGGCATCTAAATATGGTATATGTTGGTTTGAAGACAAGAATCCCATCATGGTATTTATGTAAGTTTTTACTTTAAAACAAAAAAACTTCGGAGAAAAGAGCAGAATAATTGTGATTGGTAAAAGTCATTAAGATGTCAGTCTTAGAGTG